TTTAATATCGATAATATAATACTTGGCAAAACATGCTTTTAATGAAAAATATATATAGTGTGAGTTGCGGCAGAAAATGATTCCAGATCCATTGAATCATTGTCAACTAAAGCGGATGAGCTTGTATGACGAATAATGAGCTTTGATCATGCGATAAATAGGGATCCTTCATTTCGCAGATTTTGTGAAGAGGCCTCCTCCGGTTCATCAGATGTATGGTCTCTTTGTGAGTATGATGATATAGAGCTATGGAAAGCGATAATACATATTCTTGCAGTGGCTGCATAGCCCATGATTTGGCTGGCTTCTCTCGTCAACCAATCCATTTAGCAGCTCTCACTACCACTTGAACATAAGGAGCTCTATTTCAGCAGTCAATAAAGGGTCATGGATAGCATGATTGGCAAAATCAAAACGTACATACTTACTAATTGTTGATACAGAATCAAAAAGAGTTGGGAGCCAAACTAGTTGTTGGATGCTTATACCTGTGCAACTACCATTTTCCTTGGCTTCTTCATTAATATATCTTTGTTGCCCTTTATTTGCTCTTTAAAATGATACCTCGTACTCAGTTCTGCAATGGCTTTTCATCAAAATCAGGCTAAATTGCAGTTTTACCAAGTGAAAACACGTTTTTTCTCAAAAAAAAAAAAAAAGCATAAAAATGTCTATTAGGCACTGGTTTCTTTAAAATAAATTTAGGGCGTGGTATGTCTGTAGCCAGTACACAATTATATTTTTATATCCATCACTCAATTCAGATTTAGCTTTGAGCGATCGTTTTTTTTGCACAATTTGGCTGGGAATGATCTTTGGGGCTGCGTAGATGGACAGAAACTAATGCTATAAAGCTAAACAGTACCTCAAACGACAGCTATTTCTTTGTTCTACACATTAAAGACTACCAGAGGTACATTTGTTTAGGTCTGAAATCTACTTTCTTTTTGAAAAGAGTTAAAATACATGAAATTTTGACTTGTCGATATAAAAAGCGTGCAGTATACCTAGCAAAAGTAGTATCATTTGATGCGCATTGCAATTCTTTACCAACGTATTATCAATACAAAAGAAAGGTTATTCCTATATCTATGCAATTCAAAGGTGCTTTTATTACGCAGTACAGTGGTACCACGTTAGTACAAGGTTGTGTATCTTAAGCGGTTGATCAGTGGGATTCGCACATATCTATGCCAAATTTTGCAAAAAAAAAACACAATGGTGTAGTTGAATTCTCGATCATTGAGTTGCATTTGATGTATCATGGACGATTATTCACGATTTGCCAATTTTGTGCGCTCATCTTGACAAGATCTATAAGGAAAGCCGCTAATTACGACTGCCTAGTAGTAGCATATTGATAGAGGGGGTGTTGCGCAACACTGCATTCAAAACCGCTTGGCTCCAGCACGCGTTGTTGTGAAGTAATCAAACGGTGCCATATTTATCTATTTCTTTAAACGAAAATGCATGCAAGAGCCAAGCGGTATTGAATATAATGTTAGCCAATACCCTATCTGGCAACTTGCTACTACTAGACACTTGTATTTAACAGCTTTCTTTATGCTTTTCGTCAAGATCAGTGCTTAAAGCTGACACATTATTCCATAGATAATTGTCCCTCCACCAACTGTAACTCGTCCAATCTAAAATCAAATTAAGGTATAACAATATGGTCCTCGCAAAATTTGGCGTAACTAGGTAGGTGCTAATTCCATAAGCAATCAAACACTTCATTAGGAACGCCATAAAACGTTGCTATTTTCATGTAATGGCTGCTGGATTAATATAACAATCAAAAGTAATATGATGCCTTGTTACTGTATTTGAGCGATCACATAAGACAACAGCATTTTCAATATCATATACCTAGCCATACGCATTGTCTTCTATATATTATCAAGCTAAAACGAACTTGGATCTAGTTACATAGTATATACAGCATAATATCTTCAAAACAATGTATTTTATGTGTAAACCTTTTTAGTATTATATTCATCTCTAAATTTGTTATAAAACACTTTCTTAAGAGATTAACCCCGTTTGATCATGTCCCATGCTTATGTTGGTATCGTGTGTAGTTACCTTAAACCATTTGTACCATCAATTTTGAATGTTTAATCTTGCTTTTCTAGTTTTTCACTACACTTTTGCTTCAATATCAATGCTTTATTTCTCTGAGCTGACTGGAAATTTGAGCCAATAAAATCGTTTAAAAAGCTAGTTTAAACGCCGCGGAGTTAGAAAATTTTTGCGAGGGTTTCCCTCTGTTTTGACGTTAGGCGGAGTTTTAAGTATTACTAAATACAGTAATTTAGCAATTCTATCATCAAAATCCCCTAAAATGCAAGAATATGCCTTACTACACACCCCAGCTTATAATGCAAACGCTTGAGACTCTTAATTAGCACCAAGTAAGTGATACAAATCAAGTGAGGGCAGCCTATCTACCCCCAGCCTCTGAATCAAATCTAGTTGTGCTTCAACGATAGGCTTATCCACACAACGAAAAAAGAGGGTCATGGTTCAAAGAACCATGAAAAGTGGGAAAAGTAACAACAAGAGGGCATCACTAGAATGTGATGAAGAATAGAAACATTGCAATACAGTTACATACAAAGAGGTAACATGCAATGAATATCATCAAAATGACGAGTACAAGAAAAAAAAAAGGTAGAAAAAAGTATCGTGGTTGCCTCATACGAAGCACGAACACTAATACAACCGGTATTACAGAAGATGTAATACTTGAAGAAGAACAAAAACAATGCAAGGCTACTCCACAATAGAGCAGCACTGCCAGCGATACAATGCATCAAAAGATACACCATAGCACTATGGCACAGCAACAGAAAAAAAGTTGCGTGCAAAAAAGGGTGAAAGAATAAATCGCAATAGAGCAAACTAAAAGAATGCGCAGTATTACGAGAAAGAAGGTAGTAATAGGTTGAATGAATGTTATCCATGGCAACCAAAGAAGAGGAATATAGTACAAACCAGATACAAACCAAACACAATCAATATATTGCAACGAACTGGCCTAAAATAAACTGTGTAATTAGTATTACTGTATATTGTACCGCGAAAGGTTGCTCTCATCGACTGATACCTACTGTAACAAACTTGAAAGGTGTCGTCTTGAGTACTGGTGGTTGCAAAAGTATACTTCTTTTGGCGAAAGTGGTGTTGTATTCAATCAATAGTAATAAAAAGTATATGGTTTAATAGAAAAAGTGCAGTGCAAAAACAGTGCGAGAAAAAAAAAAAAAAAAGACGCGTTGCTGAGGGTGACTGCAGCTAATAAGCTGAGCACACAGAATTTGAATGACGTGTACACTGAACATTTTGCACTGTGGTGACTGTACCCAAATAATTTTTTTTGAATCGATATCGATATAATTTGACATTTGTAAACATTTTTGTTAAAATTAGCTATAGAAAGTGTGCTCAGCGTATACTACTTTCTAATAAACTTAAGGGGGGAATTTGAAGGCGCATTCAATGGTGTCAATTTTAAAGTACTTTTAGAATGAAAAGATAAAGAATATTGAGAAAATATAAAAAGCAGTTTTTCCAAGAAAAGTCGAGATTTAGCATATACAACGTTCAAAATAGCAGTTGCACAGGTTACCCTACATCTGTGCGGTCATTTTGATCTGATATATATCATAGTAAAAATTGTCGTTTTCGCCTTCAAAATTGCGATCGTTTGATTTTTAACAAAAAGCATGAGGGGTACCTCATGAAAAAACGTGAATTTTCGACGATTTGGATCGATCCGAAAAAATAAAAATGAAGTTCCAGGATGTAAATCGTAGTCGATAGCAATCATTTGGCACTATTCCGAGCATCTGGGAGGGTCTAGAGGATGAGTTATTAAGGGTTGAATTTGGCCAATTTGGCTGGAAGAAATACCTTTTATATCCTGTTGATCCACAAAAACTGTTGCTGCAGACCTCATCGAGACTTCAGCCATTTGTTTTTTTTTCAGCTCTACGCTGAATACCATCGATTAGAAACTGACGTAAATTTGGTATGTGTTTTTTGAAAACACTGGGAAATACTGAAAACCCCCTTTATCATGATGCATCAAGAATATAACAATTGATTTTAAGCAATCAATTAAATAATATTTGTAGGTTGGCATGGAAACGTTTGCGAGAAAGACGATGTCGGGAGAGGGTGAGGAGGTGCTGATTAGATTTTAAATTGGAAGAGTTGCTGTTGACAGATGGATAATTTTTCTAACAATCAGCCAATTTTTGACACTGATGTTGACAAAATCCATAAGGAAAGCTGTTGTTGAGTTGCGACTAGGCAAATGTGTATGTAAAGTAGTTTAAAATAAGAAAAGATAGATAAATGAGCAATAAGCAGATTCGTCTATAATGAGCACCAGGTTTTAAGTTGTCCAACTATAAAGATAAACAAATAAAGATCGAAAGTAGAAAGTAGAAAATAAAGAATGTACAATGAATCGATATGTCAAATATGAGACTCAAGGGATCTTCTTACAATTGAAACAAATGTAAAATATAAGGATAAAAGTAAATGTCAAAGAGCTATAAAGCTATATGTGTAATTTTAGGTGAAGAATCAGATAATCTTTATTAATTTAATTGATGTCCTCTTATTTATACTTTTTGATATCTTAACGGATTTGTATTTAGGCGATTTCTATCTAAAAGATCAGTAATGTATCTGAAGGAAATTTAATAGTTATGTAAAAAATGTTTTGTTGAGAGATGGGAAGGTTCTACGATTGTAAATGCCTCATCTTGATAAAGTATGTTGTTTTGACTCGACTTGATTCATATTTATTTGCTTGAAATGATTAACCGTTGGAATTTACAGGAGTTAAGACAAAAGGTACTATGTTCGATTCGCAACACTGTTAATTACGACTGCCTACTAGTAACAGATCGGTAGAGGAGGTGTTGCGCAACACAAAATTCAATATTGTATAGTGTAGATGTGTACCTGATATTAAAAAAAATATGTGCAGACAGCGAGATTCGAACTCGCGCCACTTGCGTGAATACGACCTGAACGTATCGCGTTAACCACTCCGCCATATCTGCTGGTTGTTGTTTTGTCAGTACTGAAGGGTATTCAAACAGTGATCTTGATCTGCAGGACACTGCAACTTTTAGTTATATTACCTTCTTTTACCCTAGGGTAAAATGTGCATGTCATTTTGCCCGATATTCACGGTGTTATCAGAGGGTTTTAAAGAGGAATTTCACATATTTTATGACTGGGACATGATTCGAATGGAATATACTTCATCTTCAATACATTTGAATATGTATGTTGGCAGCCCATCGTCACATATCAATTATGCTTTGGAGTAATATGAGGGCAAAATGTATACTTTACCCAGGGAGGCAATATGAGGGTAGATTGTATAATTTGCACGGTATTTTACCCTTATTTTACCTTCCAAAAAGTTGCAGTGGGATATCATTGACAAGTTGAATACTAATAAGAACAAGAAACGTAGGTTCAAGCCAAGAGCGCCGATATCTAGAAATATCAAACAGCGCTTAACATGGATTGCTCATAACATTACACAAAGTATATTGGATAAAGTCAATCCTAAATCACAATGATAATAAAGGCACCTTTTTATCCATTTAACTAAAAGGCTATATACATCTTCCTGTACACACTCTATCTTACAACAAACTATATCTCGATCAGATCTCAGATTGCCAATACTAAACCTACGTATTCGCATCTGACAGTTTTGTCAAGGCTCATTTCTACCAAATAGTAATGGCCTCTACTTTGGTCACTTATGTCCTTCACGTGATGTTCTGTAGTCTGTCTAGTCAATTACATTCAGAGTATAAAAGACTCACCTTTATACTCTTCAATAAACATTAACTTCTTTCTACTATATATCTCTTACTACCACATTTATATATTTGTTGTTCCTTACAGACATCCTATCTATCTATAATAACTAAAGTACCTAATAGCCTCTGGCTATAAGTACATAACAGTTATGACAGTTTTGTCAGATGCGAATACGTAGGTTTAGTATTGGCAATCTGAGATCTGATCGAGATATAGTTTGTTGTAAGATAGAGTGTGTACAGGAAGATGTATATAGCCTTTTAGTTAAATGGATAAAAAGGTGCCTTTATTATCATTGTGATTTAGGATTGACTTTATCCAATATACTTTGTGTAATGTTATGAGCAATCCATGTTAAGCGCTGTTTGATATTTCTAGATATCGGCGCTCTTGGCTTGAACCTACGTTTCTTGTTCTTATTAGTACTCAACCTATCAATGATGTCCTGCAGATCAAGATCACTGTCTGAATACCCTTCAGTACTGACATTTACATGACATTAAATCTTGCTTGTGTGATTATGGAGGTATTTTTGTCATTATGCTCTGAATGAACAGGTCATCATGCGAAATCCATTTCCAAAAAAATGTTGTTAGAGTATTCAAATTAGCACATACCTATGCAAAATTTTGTGAGAAAGACAATGGTGTTGGTTGCTGTATTTCAGACTACTAGACGAGCTGCTGTTGATGATTTACGGATGCTAATTCAAGATTTTCCAATTTTCTGCATTCATCTTGACAAGATTCATAACCAAAGCCGTTAATTACAACCCTCTAATAGTAACAGTTCGGTAGAGTGAGTATTGCGCGGCACAGCATCCAATAAGGCTTGGCTGTGGCGTGTGTTGGTGTAAAGTGGCCTAATAATATACTGTAATACTACAGTATTACAGTTTCTTCTTGAATAATAAAAACCATGCTATAATAACCAAGCGGTTGTAAATGCAGTGTTGCGCGACATTCCAGCGGTTATCCATTCGTTAGCTTAGACATACGTACTAGTTAGCGGCTTTTGTTGTTGATCTTGTCAAGATCAGTGCTCGAATCGACTAATTTTGAGTAACAACCATTAGATTTTTTACACTTCAACAACAGCTGCGATGAATGCAGATAACTGCAACATACTGTTGTTTGAAAAACTGCGTCATAAAACTAAGATTAAGCATAACTGACGATATACTGGAAGGATTTGTACACTTTTAGTGTTAATAAAACCATAAAACCCGTTACTACATGACTGCAAAAGTTTCAAATGAAACCGGTCTAATTTGATTCGTCAGGGAGCAATAAACACGTTTTTTAGCTGTTTTTAAGCTACTAAAAATTAGGTGTGAGAGCTAAGACTAATTCAAATTTAAGCAATACCACCTTGAGAAAAGTGAGATTTGAGACAATGAAATTGGATAAGAGCCCAAAATGGATGTATAATAGAATTTTGAGGTTTCATCTCTAATTACCTAAAGCTCTGATCAACTAGATGTAATTATTTTGGGAAATTGGCAGGGAAATCGTGCATTTCGTGATTTTTGCATTACTAAAGTAGTAATCAAACAAGTAAAGGTCCGGAAAATGCTACAGTCATGTTACAGAGGTTCTGAAGCCAAACTTCACGCAGTTTCGTCATACTTTGTCTGGCAAAAATGGCCTCCAATCAAAGGATCATTCTTAAAATTTAGCATTTTCAGCAAACCGCTTATCGTTTCTGCATATTTTACAGGGAGACTTGATGTGTTTTTGAAATGAAATTTTAGATGAATTTGTCGAAAAGCTTTTGTTTGAGTTTGAAGAAGATCCAAGTGATTTACAGCGCTCTACAAGGCGCAGCGTTCTTTTCAAGTAATGGTTTTCGAATGAAGCGTACAAGCCAGTCAGTGCACCTGACTCAGTTTTTTATGTGCAATAAGATAAACGATGACCACATTATCAGACACATAAAAAAATATAATGGTATTCCCATATCATTTACAAAGAAATCAGAGATCGATTAAAATTAGACGTTTTTATAATTACTGGAAATTCTTATTTATGCCGACTTCTCCAATCAGCTTCGAGCTAGAAAGTCTATATTATGGATGTTAATAGAACCATTGTTTGTGGCTCCAACGGTAGTTAGCTTATACAGATATCTCTATTATACGAGCACTAATCGTAAATCGAAGTTTTGTGACGCAGTTTTTCAAACAACAGTATATCCAACATATACATTTCCGCAGAAACTTTTAAGAGGGTATTTCATCGGATAGAGTGTTTTTGCTTCCTATAACACTTGATCAGCATCAATTTCTTGTGTTGTGTGCAACTGGCAGCATGTAGTCTTCAACACAAAAAATTTCAGTAGTAAATCCAGTAGCAGCTCCAGCAATATGTTTAGCCCTACCTCCGATGACTTCTCCAACGATTCTTCTCGCAGCTATACCTTCAACGACTGCTTCGTTCAAATATATGTTGCATAGGACAATAAACTCGCTTTTGATTTGCAGTGTTGTTGCCTTCCACAAAACGCGTCCAGACAAGAAGCTGTTGTATTTTATTAGCATAATTGAGTGCCAGACATTCACGAATTAACTAAAGACATCTGAACCATCCACTGTGACAATGCCTGTAATTTTCGTTGGTTTTCTTAAAAGATTTTTGCGTCTTTTTCAACGATATCTGGATTGCAATCAGTTGCCTATACTTTTTCAGTTATTCGAAATGCTTCGACAAATACAGCAGTTTTTTTAATTAAAAATTTAACACATAAACTATGGTAGTTTAAGAATGTTGTGTCAAAGATAGAAAAAATTAACGAAAAAATGGGCAGATATGAAAAGGAAACTGTAACGAAATACTGTAAATAGCCACCACCTAAAAGTAACATCATTAAAAACCAAAATACTGTACTACAGTAGTAGTATCATCTTTGAAATTATTCTTGCACGACAATGTATGATTTAGAGCTATAATGCTCATGACACTATCCGGCTCAAAATCATTCTTATACACATTCATATAAAATCTTGTAAATGCTGTATGATGCTGGGTCTCCTTCTTGAACCACCTTACAAAAGCAAACGTGTGGACCTGATCGTCAAACATCTCGCCTGTTTCAGGGTCCAGAACAGACACAGAGCTTCGGAAAAAATAGACAATCTGTCCAGGACGGAGGGACGACGCTTCAGAGCCTGGAGTGCGGTCATTGCGACAGCGAGCCAACACAAACGATCCTCTCTTGACTTTGGATGAGGTGCCTTCCATACTCTTGTAAATACAGGTAAACAGCTTCACGCTCTTGAACTTTTGGATTAAGTTCGAGACAGGAATGACATAGCCATCGGAACTGGATATCCCTCCTTGCTGCCCACCCACATATCTCGTCAGTACCTCTGCATCATCATTGTATGTAGCGTTGTAGAATTCCACAAGACAGGCGAAATGACTTGAGCTCATGACAGAAGAAGGCTTGTCAAAGTCGATGCGGATCGATGCAACATTGGTGGGGGGAGAATCTCGAGTCCAACGAAAATGTCGCTATTGTCGGGTTGTTCTAATGTCTCCTTTGCAAGATACGATGACAGCTCGAATGCGTCTTGCGACTCTTCGTACTCTGCCTGCATGGTCTTGTTGGTGGGCACCTTCGACTTGCTGCTTTCTGTAGACACCAAAAGCTGCTCCAGCTCATCACAAATGTCACTGGGCATGTCAATAGGCTTTGACACCTTTTCAAAGAGCTCCTTTGCATGGACGTTGTTGAGGAATCTTGTGAAAAACGTCTTTTCAATGTTCTTGTTGGTGTTGATTGCCTTTAGGTCAGCGTTCAATCTCTCATAATAAAAGAGCCAAAAATTTGCTGGTGTCGCGTATCGCTGCATTACTTTTGGCAGGTAAAGAAAGACGTAGAAATTGCTGGCCAGATATCGCGGCTCTGGGTAAAGCTTTGCAAACTCTTTCGTTAGAGCCTTCACCTTTTTTGCTATATCACTGCGATAGATGCCTCGAGAACGTAAGATTCGGTTGATCTTCACAAAGGTCATAAATGTGGAGTACTTGTCAAATGGGGGCTTGCCTTGTTGCAGATACGGGCTTACCAGAAGAAAAGCAGCGTACTACTCGTTTTTTTTTAAAAAAAAAAATTGCGAAAAAAACTATCACTGATAGATAAAAGCCAAAACTGTAACTGATAATAAGTAGTTTTTCAAAAAGTGATTGTCCATTATCAAAATCCAGGGGAAACCTAA